CCTTTCTCTGATGTTTCCCCATTAACAAGACCAGGTAGGGAATCTGTCCATGGGCAGGTTTTTAATCCATCTACTGTGTCCTCTTAACTCCTCATAAAACAAGTTTTTAATCAAAATGTCATGTGGCAATAAGTGAAATGCTGAAGGGAAATCCATGGTGCTTTGTTGGTGGAGCTGTCTGTGCCTGCCAGGCTCTGCTCCTGCCTGAAGAGCCAGTGGGTCTGTTGTACAGAGCTGATGGGGGACATGTAGGGGGTTCCCTCTTGGCTCTTTGACATGACCCCAGATGAACCTCCACCGTTTAACTGAGTTCAACATGTCCCCACTTGGTCTTTGCTTTTTGCACCATCCCTTTTTCTTATCCAGGGGAAAGCGGCTCTGCCTCCAACACAGGGTTTGGGCCACACTCCAGGTTTTGGGCATGGCTCTATTTTCCCCTCTTTTGTCTAAATTAATGTCTGGAGGACTCATCAACAAGATCCTTCTGCAATGGGGTGATCTACCTGCACCCACAGTTCTGCCCCTGCTGCACCCACAGTTCTTGACAAGTTCCCTCCTGCTGCAGGGCTGTGGGTCACCTGCCCACTGGCATTATCAGCACCAAAGTGAGTGCCAGAGGGGCTGCACAGGTGCCCTGGGTGGGAGGATGTCAGCATGTGACAGTGTGATCATTTCCATGGCAACAGTAGATGACAGCACCGTTTGCTGCTCCCGGTGTTGGCGCCGGTGTCTGGAGCTTGGGTGGCCCCTCGGTGTGTTCTCCTGGAGGGAGCAGCATGGCACGGGCACCTTCTGCCAAAGGTGGGGTGCAGAGGGCTGCCATGAGCCTGAGCTCCACCTGAGCAAACCCACAGCTGGTCCCTGAGCACCTCTGTGAATGTGGGGCAGAGCACAGCTGGCTCAGTGGAAGCCAGGGATCCCCTTGCCCAGGTCCTCTTGCTCTGCAGGGAGGGCAGAAGCCACTCAGGAGCACGACAACAAAGTGGGTGCCACAGCTCTGCCACCAGCATGAACTCCCATCCCTGGCAGGCACAGGACAAGGCAGCATCCCTGTGTGCCCTGCACCCTTTCCCAAATGAAGGCACGGACATGCAGACATGAGCACAGCACCCCTGCTCCGTGCAGAGCCAGCGGGGGCCAGTTCTAAGCCCTGGTCCGTGGGGGTCTGGCAGCTCCCACTCCCTCTGCTCCTGCCATTCTGCAGCCCACACTGCGCCCAGGGTGAGCCTCCAGGGGCCACGGGCTGGAGCTGAGCCTGGCAGGGGCTTCATAGCCACTGGGAACATGACAGGTAGGGAGGGACAGAGGGGAGGTGACCAGCAGTGAGTGCTCAGCCTTGCCCCTGTCCCCAGCACGCCTGTTGCTCAGAGAGACCTGCCAGGGAGAATGGAGTGGGCACTTAATCTCCCCCTGTAAGTTTAATTAATGGGCTGCAGCACTCATTCTGTGCTGCCTTAATTGGTACAAGCTGCAAACGCTGTGGAGCCTGGAAAAAAACATTTGGAAATGAAAAATATATTAAGCAGGAAACAGATCAATGGTTCTTAATGAAGCTGATTCGGGGGCTGCCTGTCGTCGAGGGGCCAGGACCTGGGAGACACAGCTGCTGCTGCCCAGGCTCCATGGCCCAGGCACCCGCCCTCCCCAGTGAAACCAGCAGCCCTCGGGACACAGCATCAGCCCCGCTCCTGTCTGCAGGAGAGTCCTCTGGGGCTCTACCTGGTCTGTGTGGGGGGCTGTGGGGCTATGGGGCTCTTCCTCAACATTTTTGAGGGCAGCTTGAAATATCCTTGAAACATCTGGAAAAGCCAGCCCTGCTCAGCTGGAGTTCCTTCCACCCCTGCATAGCTGGAGCAGCACCCCAGGTACAGCAGAAAAATCACCTCTGCACATCTTCAGCCCCTGAAACAGCTGTGAAGACCATCCAGGGTACAGCTGGAATGGTAATCTCAGCACAGATAGCTCTTGTGGGGCTGCCCCAAGAGCATGTCCAGTCCCAAGGTTTGCTGAGGGCTGTGGGCAGAACTGGCTGTGTTTCACTGTGGTGCTTTAATGGGAACTTCTCCCTTTCCACGGGGCAAGGACATGGCTGGGCTGATCTCCATGAGGGGGCCAGGAGCTGTGCTGAGGGCTGTAATTGCCTCAGCTGTGCACAGAACATTAGCTGTGCTTCCCAGATATTTACACAGGGGAAAACAAAGTCATAATTTACCAAATAAATAATCTCCCAGGCATGGCACTCAGGGACCAGGTGCCCTCTTGCACTCACACAGCTGGCCCAGCACAGAGCATCCTCCACCATGCCTTGGGGGCTGGCAGGACCCCTCAGGACACACACTGAGGGGCAGAGAGGGTTCCCAGTGAGCTGAGGGGTGTCGTGGGTGCTGGGATGCAGCAGTGCAATCCTCCCCACTGAGGGCAGAAGGGTGAGGCACCAAGGACTGGCTGTAGACAGCTACACGTCCCAGCTCTTGTGCAGATCAGCATAGCTCCTGGACCCTCCAAAGCTGTGGGGCCAGGGGAGCCCTGCATGTATCCCACATGCCAATGTACACCCCAAAAGCACCCATTGCCCAGAGCCCAGGCCCATGAGACCTATAAATCTCCCTGAGTCCTGCGTAGGAGCAGAATGCCACATGGGAAATGGGGAGTTCAGCACTGGCCCGTTTCACACAATACATTTCATTTAATATTTGGCATTTCACTTCATTTATTTGACAGCCAGCTAACAAATTAGCACGGCATGGTATCAATAGCTCCAGACTGTGTGGATTAAAATCTGTTTAACCAATAGATCTGAAGAATAAAAAAGTAAATGAGAGCAGCGTGGCTGCAGGGGCTGGGACTCCACTGGGGCTTCAGCACAGCTGGGAGAAGAGCAAACTGTGTTCTGACATCCAAGGGGGATCAGCCACCAGGTCACCAAGTGGGAGGACCCTGTGGCTCCCAGTGCTGGCATGAGCCCAGCATAGCTTGGTCCAGCTGTGAGCAGGCAGCTGCAGGGATGAGCAGCCCCTCCCTGGCCCTTGGCTGTCTGGCTTGTTTGGCAGTAGGTTGGGGTCTTCAGGGACCACTTTGATTTCCTGATGCTAAATCCCAGCCCCACTAATGTGATTGCTAACAGCATGTGGCCCCTAATAGGGAAAGTACCCTGCAGCCTGCCTGCCCGCCTGGTACAAATTGCAAACCTTGTTACGGGGTTGTGTCCAGATTTTTAACGTGATAATAGCTCCCCTGCTCAATTATGCCTCTGGCTCAGTGTCCTGATGGTCCCCAAGAAGGGGTTAAGCAGCTGCACTGTGCCACGCTCAGGAGGCAGAGATGGGGAGGACAGGGGTTGTTTATGGGAGCCCCATCGTGATGCCCAAAGGTCCCCAGAGCTGCCCTTTGGTGGCAGTAGCTCCACAGGGTCCCCAGTGATTCCTGGCTGGGGAATGCTGCCTATGCTGCCTCGCAAGTGGCCCCTGCCCCATGGATCTGGCTCCTGCTGCTAATCCCAGGGCTGGGCAGCAGCAGATGAAGCCCAGTCCTGCATTAGTTTCTCTCCCACCAGCCCTGAGCACGGCCATGCTGCTCCCAGTTGGCCACGCATAGGCTGCTCCTCACAGTGTCTAGTTAGAAAAAGAGAGAAAAAAATGGATAAATAATTTAAAACATGAAATCCTTTGCACCTCTTTAATGCTTGCACTTTCAAGGCCCCATGTGTCTGTTAATTAATGGAGCACATCAAACACTCTCGCCTTGCATCTCTGCTGGTCTTGCTGTCCCTGCTGTCCCCAACCCTTCCCAGGTCCCCTGACAAGTCACCAACAGCCCCTTCCTAGCCTGGGGCTCTGTGGTGGCCTGGACAGACAGCCCCAGTGCAGCACTGGGGTGCCCACAGGCTTCCCAAGACATTCCCCTGTCCTGTCCCTTGCTGCTCCCATTGTCACTGGGGTTATGGTGGGCACTGTGGTGGAGGGATGGTGAGACTGTCACACCTAGGCTGACATTACATATTCATTACTCAACATCTTTTTCAAGCTTTTGAGCGTGTTACAGGATTGAGACCACGTAAGTACAGAGATCATTTTCCTTCTCCCGCCTCCAAAACTCAGTCACCCTGCAACAGGGTGTAATAGCTGTTTAAGCAACATGCAGGGATGTTACTCAGCAGGGGAGAAGGATCCCACGTCCCTGAAAGGTGATGGATGCGTAAGAGTAAGTTACTCCATCCGAGTATTCAGCTGCAAAAGTGGTGAGCTGGGGCACGGGGGTCGTGCTCAGCCCCCACTGTGGGTTACATGCTGCTGCTCTCAGCTCCGTGCTCCTCCCCAGCCCTCCTGCCTCGGGAGCCATCCCTGCTCCCAGGGGACACCAGCCCTGCTCCTGGGGTCAGGCAGGTGCTGCGTGTCCCTGGCCCCGTGGCCAGCAGGGCAGCAGGAACAGGCAGGGCTGCTGCCCACGAACAGCCCTGGGTGTGTGCCTGCTGCCTGCAGTGTCACGGGAGAAGTGGGGTTTAGTCCAAACAAAAAGGTGTTTTCAGAAGGCTGAAACTAATAACACAAACCCTAATTTAAAATTATATTAGGCTATCAATTACTCCCCAAGCGTCCAAGAGCTCTGCTGCCAGCATCAAATTGCCAGCTGTGATAAATGGTTTTATTGGAATTTCATAAGGTCTGAATTATTTGCAGATAGGAAATTTTCATAGATTAATTAAAATTTTGTAACAAGCTGAAGTGGTTTGTGGCAATCCCCCTCATGACTGGCCTAGGGTAGGCTTGGGATTCTCATTTCCCCAGGTTGTCACCAGGGACCACCATGGCAGGGGTGGCCTTGCTAGTGCCATAGGAGCATTGCAAGGAAAAATCCTGTGTGTTTGGCAAATTGGAAGAGACAATTATCAAACCCTGAATGGCTGGATGATTGCAACGTGTTTGGCTTGAGCCAGGACTATCCAGCATAATTTCTTGTATTATAGTTCTTCTAATACTTCAGTAAAGAGTGAGCAGAGGAAAAACCACTCGATAGTTTATTCAGATTTTCAAAAAGCCTTTTGACAAGATCCAGCGCAGGAGGTTACTATAGAAATTAAATTGTCATGGTGCGAGAGGCAAAGTATTGCCATGGATCAAAGGCTCACCAAGAGAGAGAAAACAGAGGAGGAAAAGCCGGGCAGCTGTCATCCCAGCACAGGGCAGCTGCAGGGGCTTGCAGGCTCTGCCGTGGCCCTGTGTCACTTAACATATCTGTGGGGCGTCGGGGAGAAGAAGCAGCACTTGGAGAGACACCGTGGAGCTCTAGGAGGGTTTGAGGCTGTTGCACGTGGGAGGTGCAGTGTGGCAGGCAGGTCATGGCAGCGCTGCTGGGCTGAGCTGCAGCACTCACTGCTGGTGCTTGGGGCACGGCCTGAGCTCAGCAGCAGCAGCAGCAGCAGCATCCAGCTTCTCCCAGCTCCTGGGCTGCTGACAGGACACGCTCCCAGGGCTGCTGATTTCCTGGGGACATGGCTGAGGGTCAGTTTAGCGAGCAGACAGGCTGGCAGTGCCATGTGCCAGCAGTGCTGTTTTGTCCCTGGAATCACCCTTTGCCCTGGCAGTGTCCAGGGGGGAGAGGCTCAGCACCCAGAGCTGCTGCCCATGAAGCAGAGCCCCCAGGCTCAGGGCACACCTCTGTCTGTGTAGGGGGCACACCTAAGGAGGCCGTGAGTCCCAGCTGCTCTGTAGGACCCTCTTGCACATGTGGCTCCCAGATGCAAGGAGCAAAGGGGGATTGACACCCTGACAGGCAAACCAAGCCACACAAGCAAGAACATGATGATGGGTGGCTCTGAGTCACACACACCCCCAGATGAGGTGTCCAGAGAGGTGCATACACAGGAGGAAAGGTGGGGTGTGCTTTGGGGGGTGCCCAGCCCACCCACCCCATGCAGACAGAAGTTCAATAGGGTTTTGGCACATGGCTGCCCCATCCCACCTCCCATCCTCTCAGGCAACCCTGGCAACCAAGGACTGTGCATGGTCCGCGCTGGCGCTGAGCTCCTGCTTCTCCCTCCCGAGGAGAACCTGTTCAGCAGGAAAGGGGCCCCACAGTGCCTATGTGCAGATAAGGGAGGGAATGTAAACACCCTCCCAGCTCTGGCATCCCAGCTATCTGAAGCAGCAAATGCCTCCAGAGCAAATTCCTCCCACTCTGCCTCCTGCATCAACTGTGGGGCCTCAAGATCTGCAGAGACACGTCCACCTCTTGCTCTCCTGCAGCCCCTCATTTTCATTCACCCCACACACCTGTTTGCCCCCTTCACCTCTACCTGACACTTCCCTGGCTCCCTGGGAGCTTTCTGGACTACCCTACACCATTACTCCATCCCTCCAGGAGGATGAAGGGTGGTGGTGGTCCCCTCTGCTCTAGCAGCCTCAGCCTCCTGCTCAGACTGGTTTTGCCAGATGAAATATCTCTGCCATGTGACCCCTGCCAGCAGTCAAAGAGCATTTCTCACTGATTTCAGTATTTCTCACCAAGTTTGGCAGCTGGAGAACAACCATGCTGAGGAAACAGAGGCCTTGGAAGAGGCTCAGGATGTTTCAGGTCACCCCAGTATGGGGCACTGAGCATCGCTGCCTGGTGCTTTGGCTGTTATCAGACAATAAAGCTCTCCTCCCCCCTCTGAAATTAGTAAATACAGCTGCTGTTTGCTCTCTTCCTGCATTTTGTGGGCTGAGGAGGCACTCCTGCTACAACCCTGGGGGATGCTGCAGGGTGTTGGGAGGAGCCACTGGTGCTCACTGCTTCCTTTCTCACCTGTCTGTGGGCTCGGTGTCCCTCCCGTCCCCTCAGCATCAGCTGCAGCTGCTCAAGCATGACCAGGGGCCTTTGCTCCACAGGGATGGATGCAGGCAGGGATGCTGGCAGCAGGCTGCAAACTGGCAGCACTGGGAAAAGCAAAATGCACCCAGGGACGTGTGGCAGAGGCCCCAGGAAGCAGAGAGTGAGGGCACTTGAAGGGATGCAGGGCTGCAGAAGCTGGGAGTGTTCAAGCTCGCATCACAGCATCCCAGAATGCTGCATCTGCAGCGAGAGACTCACAGAGAACCTGTTGATATGGCAACCCTGCACGGGAGAGTGCCCATCCCACTCCCCTCTGCATCCCCTCCCGGGCCCCTCTGCACCTCACAGCCCAGAGCCCTGCAGTGCCCCAGCCAGCATGGTACCCTGGGGGCCACACAACTCATATTTGAGGGGGTGAAACACAGTCAGATAAAGCAAAATGCTGTACACAGTGGAAAAACCATCCCTGCATTCTCAGACAATGCAGGGCTTTCAATTGCCTTTTGGATAGGAGACCCCAATGTCCCTGTGGGCTCGTCTCTGCAGTGCCAGTGATCCTCACAAAAACTACAAGGAGAGTGATGGATGGATACTGGAAAAAGAACAGAAACCACTCTGAAAAGGGGTGCTAGTGCAGCAGAGCCATGGGATGAGCAGTGCAGCTGTTGGCTACCCTGACTCAGTTAGGGTAGTCCCAGTTAGGGACTGAGCACTATCCAGGTGGGGTGATAAGCTGTGAGTTTTGGTTGAGAAGAAATTCAGTAGCCTGGAAGTCCTCAATATTCACTGTGTCTCTCAAAACAAAGAGAACACCCAAATTAGTTGGCCTGGCATTTTTAAAATCAAGGAAATACTTTCTCATGGCACAGATTGAAACTGCAGACTCATGGTGGGGGCAGAAGGGGATCAGTCCCCACCTTCCCTGTGTTGACTCTTTATCTGCATGTGACAGCACTGGCAGTGCCTACTGGCTTCAGCCAGCCCCATTTGGCTGCTTTCTCATCCACATTCTTCCACATATCCACCACTGGACACAGTTACAGGTCAGTCCTTTTCCCAGGGCTACTCGTGTGATATGGATGCTGTTGTGCAGAGCCCTTTCCATCCCTGCACTTGTCTTTGGAAATGGAGAGTTTTCTTGACTGTGAAATGTCACTGCACAGTAAAAATCCCCCCTGTCCTGCACTGCCAATGTTTGGGGGTTCTGGGAGGCACAAGCATCCCCACAGCACCCACCACTGGCATTTGGGAACATTCACAAGGTGACAAACATTGCTGAGCATGTCAGACATCAATTTTTCAGCTGCCAAGACTGATGCTGGAAGGGTCTGGGTGGTCTGGTGTAGGGGGACAGCCCGGTGGCACCACCAGCTCTCAGGTCTGCCTTTGGAAAAAGTGGGAGTCACTGGTGACTGGATTCTGGTTCTTTAAAACCACATGGTGCTTAAAATTAAATCTCTTTGCTGGTGACTGAAATTTGATGGATGAAAGGTATTTCTCCACATTTCCAAGAGATTTTTTTGGTGGCAGCTTTGCCACTGGCCTCCTTACCCTCACAGCGTGTCAGCCTCACACATAGTGATGGCCAAGCTGCCTTCAGGAGTGCACAGGGCACCCTGTGACCCCTGGAAAAGGTGAGCACAGACAGCAAGCAGAGAATTGCTATGAGATGTAATTAAGCCAGACAAGGAGCAATTCCTCACTGCAGAGCTGCAGTGGGCTGCTTTAGAGTGTGATTCAGATCCATTTCAAGAGCTGCTGAGCCTTTAATCCTACCTACTAATCCCCTACCTGAATCTTTACCTTCATTTTCCAGGGACTTTGGTGCCTTATCACAGCAGGGTGATCTCTTCAGAGGGACCCCCTGAAGGTTGGTGCCTCCATCAGTCCCTTTTGTAAGAGCCAGAGCAGGTTTGAACACCACTGCAGATGTTTCTCTCTGGCATGGGGGGACAGGGCTGTGTGCCCAAGTCCCAGCATCTGCAGCCATGCTTGAACTGTGGCCAAAGGCTTTCCTTCCATATGGACTTGTTTCTGCCTCCCCATGGCCTGCTGTGCCCAATGTTACACCAGCCTCAGACATGCTCTGGCAGCTTGAGAGCACTCAAGGAACCAGGTGTGGGTCTGCAAAGCCACATGTCCATGCATTGGTGCTGATGTGGCACATCACAGGCCCAGCACAGGGACCACTGCCCGTGCCAGAGGGCTTCTCCCAGCTGGGAAAACAAATCTGGGTGAAAGGGTGGTAGGACAGCTCCTTGGCAGAAAGCCCAGCAGTGGGGCTGGTTGGTGGATCCCAGCTTGGTTTGGCCTTGACCTCCTGCAGGCCCAGGGGGCTGTAGGGGAAGCGGCGCCTCAGGAGCCATCCCGGGGGTGAAGCTGTGACCCTGCACAGCTCCTGGAGGCAGGAGGTGGGGTGAGGCCTGCAGGAGCAGGGCTCTGGCACAGCCTGGGGAGGGATGGCACCACAGGGATGACCTTCAGGAGCAGCAGCAGGATCACCTGGCAGCGCTGCCGCGGGAGGCAGAGCGAGGAGGCCATTAGGAGTGTCAGATGTCTGCGATGCCATTACACAGCGGACGCCTGTCTCCGCACCTGGTTAATTATTAACCAGTCCGTGCTGCTGCTCAGGGGATGCAGCCAGGCCAGCCCGGCACCGCTCTGTGCAGCGACTGCTGCCAGAAGTCATCCTCCAGCCCGAGCACAGCCCCTCCTGCAGCAGCCCCCACTGACTGTGACATAGCAGCAAGGCAGCCCTTGGAGCAGGAAATCCCACATCCCACAGAATTGCTGTGCCACCAGCCAGGGACAACACACGTTCACAATAACGCCTCTCTTTTCTCCCCTGCAGACTTGTGCCTTTTTTTCTTCTTCTTCTCTCCTCCTGGCTTTGCCATATGCAATAAGGAGTAAATAAAGAACACTGATGTAAAAAAAAAAAAAATCCAGGGAAAGGCTGGAAATCCTTACCCTGCAATCTCACTCACACCAGTCCCAGGACTCTGGTGTTCCCTGAATCTGTGGTTTACAGGGCTGAGGGACTGCCTGCTCTAAGCCCTTGATGCTGCAGCCAGGAGGAACCAGAGAGAGCCAGGAAAGCACCATCAAGCCCAACTGGTGGGACAGAATGGGGATGCCACTCCAGCCAGATGGGAACTACAGGAGAGGGGTGACTTGGAGAGGCACAAGAGGTGACTTCCACTCTAAGACACATATCCAAAGACTGTTGGCATGTTTGTTTTCCTCTAACAAGTCTCATACAATCTCCAGTTTGGCTTTCAGCTGCTGTTTGAGTGGCTGGTGGGAAAAGAATAAAAGATTTCTAAATTTCAATAAAAGCCCCTTATCTCATCCCTCTCCATCAAGGCTGATCCACATTCTCTGCCTTCCAGGCACAGTGATTTACATGGTAATGGACTCTTCATCCCAGGGTCAGATGGGGAATTTGACTGGAGCCAGACTGCTGGCTTGGCCTTGAGGCAGAGGGCAAGGGCCAGGGGTCTGTCTCAGCACCGTGCCAGCAGCAAGGTTCAGCAAGGAAGCAGGCTGGTGAGTGCAAGGGAAGGCACAGGGAGAGCCCTGTGGGGCTGTGGGGAGCCCCAGGGCCCCCCAGCTCTACGGGGTATATGAGGTGTGTTTATGGCATGAGCCTCCTGGCAGGACCGCTGGAGCTTGGCTCGGAGCGCTGCTTCTTCCCTGCTCGTGCCAGATGGTGGCTGGTGCAGAAAGGCAGAAATGTTTAGTAGATATTTCTGTTCTGTATTTGGAATGAAGCAGGAGGATATATTCATCTCCAGATGATACTGTGGATGGAATATAAATCCTGCCATCTGTAACAATGGGGGATGTGAGGCATGATCTCCTCGAATTCAGCATTTGCAGATCATCCAGACAGCTGATGCTCAAGAGTCTAGAAGGAGCTAGCTAAAGCCAACGCCACAGCTTAACAGATCTTAGAAAAAATGGTCAAATTCCAAAAGATTAGAGAAATGTCAGCGTAATTCCAGTGTTTGGAAAAGTTTAAAGGCACAGCACAGAGACCTGTTCATAAACTGGTTGGTTCATGATTTTTGTGGGGTCTTTTTTTGAACAACCTTATAGGTCTGATTGATAAAGACAAGTTTATAGCATTATAGCAGACTAGAATTCCTCAAAGCATTTTGCCTATTACTATATGACATTTGGAATGCAAAAACCCACGCTACAGAAGGAATTATCAGAGCATGAACTGAGTGGACTAAAACCCGTCTCAGATGTCACCATGCGGTGGCTACTGGGGACACTTCAGAGGATGGAGGGGTCCTCAGTGAGGTCTCTTGGGGGAATCTGTTCTTGTTGCAACAATGTGTATGTTTTTATCCAATGGTCAACCTGACCATAAAAAAGCCAAAAATGGTGAAGTCTGCAGGTGATGCAGTGACTGGTAGGGATCTTGATAACGAGCAGGCCATGGTGCTGCTTTAGTATCTTCTAAATTGCCTGGTAAAATGGCCATAATCCAACTAAATGCATTTTAATATGGATGCATGCAAGCAAAGACAACTGGGAACAAAGATTGCAGTCTTTATTTCCAGGATAAGGCTTGGAAAGCTGTGACAGAAGGCGGCTCAGGAATGATTTTGGGTAACTGACTCCACATGAGCTCTCATTTCAACAGCATGCTGAAAGCATCCAACATCTTCCTTGAATATATAACAGGTGAATATCAAACAAAAGCAGGGGAGCATCTCGACTCTTCATGTTACTGTTGAAATGATTACTATGAATGTTATTGGCAACTTGGGTATCTAGAAGTGAAAAGGTCACCAAAATTCAGGAAAGGAAAGCCATACATACTATCCAGGCATCAGAAAACAAGCTCTGGTACAAGAATAGAATGGTACAAACTACTCAGTTTGCTGGTAAGAGGATTGAGGGATGGTCCAATCTCAGCCAGAAATGTTCCTGACAGTTCAGCAGTCTCCATCTCACAGAGGAGCAACAAGATCTGAAGGCTGAAGCAGCAGTTAGAAAACTTCAGTCTGGAAAAGAAATACAAGATGCTAGCAGGAAGGTGCAAGATGTTGGATCAGCCACCCAGAAGGCAGCAGTTTTACCAATTTTACAACCAATTCCTGTATGTGAGATAGGTAAATCCAGATTCTGGGGAGGATCCATAGCCTTGTTGTGCACAAGCCCTTCTGTACCCAGGGGTGCTTCAGCTGTCCCAGGGATACCAGGACTGCCTGTGCTGGCTCAGCATGTTCATGGCCTGCATGGCACAGGGGCAGGAGGTGGCTCAGGACTGGTTTTGT